GCCAAACTGAAGGGCGGCATGGGCGGTTTACATGCTAGCAGCGAGGCCGGAGCATGCATGGGCGAGGAAGGCTTTCCCCAAATTGTGCAAGAGGGACAGCGCGCAGCCACGATGATGCCAGGGGCACGGGAGCCATCCCACGCCCAGCCACCCCTGAGTGAAGATTCAGCACACACCTTGGCACTCTCCATTTCATGAATTGCTCTGCAGCTGACAGCTTTCTCTAAGCATAAGGGACACAGCTACGCAGTCAGGTAGGCACCCACTCAGCCCGATGGCTTAGCAGACCCAGGAAGATGAGAATAGGGCATAACCTTTCCAATCTTCCTCAAAACATGCAAAACCAAAGAAGAATTCACAAAAACATCAGCTCCGTGGCTGCCTCTCTGGTTTTGTACAGCCTGTAAGTAGGTGAACTACAGGAAAGGTCAATTTGCCTTCTTTGGTCAGCAGCCCCTTGAGACGCTTTCCTTGGGCATCGATGCTAAGAAGTAGCATCTTAAACAGCTGAGCAAACACCCACAAGAAACAGTGGGCTGTATTTGTTGGGACTCATATCTAACTTGCCACGCTTTGCTCTAGAGCATATAAAGGAAAACAAATTGCAAAGAGATGTTTGTCTTTGCCATTGAGAAACAACAATCTGCACCAACTCGAAAGATCAGATCACCCACTAGGAAAGAATTTTAATTGCCAGAACATAATCCTTCAGATAGAGCAATACCCCTCCACACTCACTCCTGCCTTCCACACTGAGCCAGAAGATACGCTGGCTTGGGTAGCCCCCATCCCCAAGAACACCATTTTAGTTTCATCTTTGCCCACACTCACTCCCCAAAGCTAAGAACTGCTGCTTTCTTTTTTTTTTCTTCTTTTCCCCTTAAAAAACAAGTAACGGCAGCTCTGCCCAAGAGGGGAAGACAATGCTAAATCACAATCCCTCCCGCTGCCCTTTGTTACTCAGACAGAAACAGCCTCTTAAACACCATCGTAACATAAGGGAGATTGAAAACAAAAAGGAGCTGAACTCCAATTTAGTGTGACTCATTTCTCTGATTCACACCACTTCTTTCTCCTCTAAAGCAGGCTTCCAGTGCAGATGACCTGCAAATAAAACCCTCCCACTTCAGGAAGGTACTTTGGAACCTCAAAAGCAAGTAATTCTCAGTTCTAGAAGCCATCACAGTTTCAAGGGTTTTTTTTTTCCAGATTATAGGTAATGTATGTGGGAGCTTAACCTCACACAGCCATCATTTCTTAGTACCTCAGGTTATAATGAATGCATATATACACTGGTAAAGCGGTGGGTGTTGCCGGTCAGAGGACAAAAGTGACAAGCTGGACTTCACTTGACCTAGGTACGTGCAGGGTGTACCCAGGGCAGGGAGCAGAGGACAGCATTGATATCCCCCCATCATCAGCACCCCCCAGTTCAGGTCCACACACGCACACAAACCTTCCCACCCAGGCTGCAGCTGCCTCCACAGACCCAGAACTCCACAACCCATGGGATGCCTCGCTGCTTTGAACATCTGCTTCATCCTACCTCCGCCACGCTGATCCGCTCCTCTTCCCTTTCTGCGGCGTCAGGCAGGAAAAGCGCACAGGCTGAGCGCGGAGGAGAGGGAGCAGCTGCTGCCAAACCTGAGAGCCGTGGGGTGGAACGAGGTGGAAGGCAGAGACGCCATCTTCAAAGAGTTCCACTTCAAGGACTTCAACCGGGTACGAGCATCGGCAGTACAGTTTTACAATGTGGGCGACCTGGCTTGCAGAGCAGGGAGTCCCATCTGCAAGGCTCAGCCAAAGAACCCCCTCCATGTTTCTCCTGAAACATAATGGCTGAGCAAGATAACCTGCCCAAGACACCAAAGTGCTCAACCCAGCACACGGTTTGTCTGGGAAAAGCTCCCCAAAAAGAGGAAAACCCATAGGAAACCCCGACAAAGATACAGAACATCCAGGCCTTGTATTTAGTTGGGTTACTTAGAAACACATAGTATAAAATTAATAGCAATGGGGTGAAAAACAATGCATGGCAGGTTAAGTGGTTCAGAGCTAGCTTTTCTTCTTATTCCACTGGGCAGGCCTTCGGCTTCATGACCAGAGTGGCTCTACAGGCAGAAAAACTGGATCACCACCCCGAATGGTTCAATGTGTACAATAAGGTAAGCAAGATGGATGGTGGGGGCAACCGGAGCTCTTCAGGAAACACATCCCTTTTTGTGAGGAATAAAACAGCAGCAGCGAGTGCTGTTCAGATCAGTGGGACCCCTTTCCTCGGATGCTCTTCCCTGGGCATGTCACAGCCAGCCTACAGCTATCACCTACAGATCCTTTCCTCCCCCTTTTTTTAACCTGTCCAGCTGAGCAGTAGCTGCCTGGAGGCTGGCAGCACCAGGGTTGCTTTTTTTAAATCAGTATCAGAAGTAGCAGCAAGGGGAAAAGCTTCTGGAGAAAGGGCGAGTTGAAAAGTGGGCACAGCTGGCTGCTGGGACCAAGGCAGGGGTGGCAGTGACAGCTTGTGGCCAGGACGAGCTGTAGGAAGGAGAAAACCAGGCAAAATGCCAGACCACCTCTCCCAACCCCGGGGAAATTTTGCTAACAAGTCTGGAGAAAGTAATAGTGCTACCTGCCTCATCAGATGCAAACCGTCTGCAGCACTGGGGGAAACTGTTCCTGCTCTTTCTGCCAGCAACACTTGGTCGGTCTGTCTGTCTGGTTTAGGTTCACATCACCTTGAGCACCCATGAGTGTGGAGGCTTATCAGAGCGAGACATCAACTTGGCCAGCTTCATCGAGCAGGTTGTAGCTTCTCTCTCCTGACTAGAGACACACGAAGCCAAAAATCAACTCTGCTGCTGCCACAACCTGCATCTCGCCTGGATGGCTGCACCTAGAGCCTTCTCCCACTTCCAAGCTAGTTCCTGGATCCAGACCGCTTAACGCCACGTCAAACTCCCTGCCCCAGCCCAGGTGGGATGGAGGCACTTCTTGTGCACCGTGCGTATATCCATCTCTCATCATGCCGTTTGCATTCTTAAAGCCTTCGTTAGCTGTGCGCTACCAGCCCGCAAACTGCTGAGCCTCTTGGGCTTGCAGCAGCCGTGCCCTTTTACCAGGAGCCATGTTACACAATTGTACCGGTAAATCTTTCCAGAGCCTGACCCCATCCAGCCACTGTGTTATTGCTTCTTACCTACTGGAATAGGCTTTCTACCTAAAACATGGTACGTAAACCCTTTGGTTTCTCTCTAACATCCCAGCGACTGTGATGTGCAATTTGGTTATTACCGTAACCTCTCTCTCTAGCAGTATTATAAGCAGGCATGTGATCTCACCCCTATGTAACTGGCCTTTAGTAGGATACCAACTGAAAATGTTTACAATAAAGGTCTTGGTTAACCTGATGTCAGTTTGGAAGGAGGCCTCTCTGTTAAAATTACGCCAGCAGGTTTCCCCAAAGCAGGTTCTGGCCTGCCTGCTCTCAAAAAGGTGCTTCTGCCATGGAAAAGCTTCTTCATGAAGCACCGCAGAGAAATGGCACGTGCCTTCGCAGGCCTGCCCCTCAAAGTGAACAGGGTCTGAAAGAGAATGAGATTATCAAAGCCAGAGCAGATCAGATCAAAATTGCTAGTGCTAAAATCAGAAGTGTACTATAGCCGAGGCACCAACACAGGGAAGGCACAACCAAAAGGCACGAAAGCAGCGCAAGCAATGGGCCAGGGGCTTCTTACGGTGGGACACCTCCCAAAAGAGGTTGTAGGTGGATTTGGTGGTGTAAGATCTTCACTCCAGTAACACAACAATCTCGGCATGCACGGAGTCTGCAGCCAAATTGCTGCGCTGTCAGTACAACAGGAACAATTCGCTGTGAAACCAACAGTAGTTGCTTTCAGCAAAACAGCCTGGGAGAAACACTACAAACACCCAATTTGGGTCTTATTTTCTTTTTTCTTTTTTTTTTTTAACCCTTCAAAGTTCTATAAAGCATTAAGAGAAAATCCCTTGCTCTTAAATGACAATTTTCAGCATCCTTGAACATCACACGCAAGACGTAGCCACGGACACCACCTTTATCATGACAGAACGAAAAAGCAGCCCTCGGGCAGAGGTAGTAAGATTCAGAAATCATTCTCCCTGCCACAGATGAGGCTGTGCATGAGCAAAGGCCAGGAGCAATAGGTTCCCATTCATTCAAATGAACATTGAAACAGAAAAATAAGAGTTCGGTAAGCCTAGATAGCTAAATGCACCATTTTAATCCAAACTAGGCCCACTTTCACGATCTCTTCAGCTATTTCAGCCTACAGTTTTACAGTGGCAAATTAGAGCAATACAGAATACTGCCATGAGAGGAACTCGTCCCATTTGTTCATTAAAAAGTCAATGTGTATTTATTGGGCAAGATATTATTGCGTTGTATGCAACCCTTCCTCTCCCCCCTCCCCCCCAAGTCATCAGAAAAGTGCAGGTGAAATCCACGCCATGAAGACACACAACTCTTCTTGGTCCATCCCACTGGATATTCTTCAGTCTAGTACCTAAGAGCACGCAAAGCCCTTGGGGGTGCTTTGTACAAGCAACAAATTTAGCGTCTCGCTTGGAAAACCTGACAGTCAGAAATCTCACAGGAATTAATAGTCGTGAAGATCCCTCCGGGTCTAAAGTACCATCCAGTTTCAGATCATAATCCAGTCCATAAAATTCTTCTTTTTTTGTCTTTCAAATAATTATACAGCTTGTTAATCGCACCATTTTCGTAAGACCATCTGGCATGATAAAAGGAGACGCAGATTACATGTTAGATGACAAGGATGAATAAAGACTACACACCAGTAAATTACAGTGGCCTATTCCTGACCAAAAGATTACATTTACAGTATAGAACAAATACACATAAAATAATTAAACCCACAAATATTACTAGTGAGTGAAGCCCGGAATGGAATACATTGACTTACAAATAACATCTTCAAATACATCCAAAAACGTGAAATGGAGCACTGATCTGTTAGATCCATCTACTTCCTTGGAGGAGAATGCAACCAGGGGAGAGGAGGGAGTTCTTCCCTCTCCTTAACCCCACCCCAATCCATCCCCCCCCATTTCTTTTAAAGCAGAAACAAAAAGAGTACCTCCCTTTTTTGTTTGGTTTTTTTTTTTTTTAAATCTCGGTTCAAAAGAGAACCATCACAGTAGCCAGACACTTAAGACTGTCTCCAAAGTACAGCAAACTCAAGAGATGCAGTAATGGTCACATTGGCAGGACGTTAACAGAATAAACAGGTCCAACATAAATGCTGACTGCCAGAGCTGGTAATACCTTCAAAAGACTATCAGGCAATTCAAATGTGATGTTTTCAAAAGGGCTCAGAGACATGCATAAAGTCATCAGTTTAAGGGCAGATGGCCAAAATACTTCTGTCTCCTACCACTGAGAATAAACCTGTTAAAAAGCAAGTATTCTTCCCACAATCACTGGGCCCAAGGCTGCTGCACTGGTTTGTGCAGTGGCTGGTAAGTAACCTTCTCATTTGTTATAATTATTGTGAGGGTCAGCTTTGGGCTAACAAGCCGACTACAGCAGAGACACAGATGCCTTCAGATGCCCTGCACAAGACTCTGCAGATGGGGCATGAAGTCTCTCCCAAGTGTTGAACTCTGCCTGGGAAACTCTTGGTAGCATGCAAAAAGCTGAGAGGAAATACCTGGGAAAGCCCTGCGGGAGTGACTCCACCACTGTTTAATAACTCACAAAATTCTAGCTTGTCCTTAAGGCCACAACTGCCTCAACAAGTTGCACCAGGAAAACTCTCTCACCATAAAAACAGCGGAGAAAAATAGGAAGGGTGAGCCATATGCCCATACTTGAATACCTCCAACTTGCTGCATCCTATCATCTACCTCTCAGAGCTATACCAGCATCTTTGTAATACTGTGAAGGGACTTGGCTCAGTACAACTACTATCCCACCTTACAGGCAAGCGTACCTCCTCTGAGGCCAGTCTGCCTTTGAGGCCTTTTTTTATATAGTACCATAAGGAAATGACCACAGCAAATGCTGTGGTTAACAGCTGAACCCTCAAAACCCTCCCTGGCATCCCACAAAACAAAGCCAGAGAAGCGTCAAGGCACAATGGTGAATGCCCTTTTGAGAATGTGCCTTAAAAGAATCAGTGCAAAGAGCAGAGACTACTATTATTACAAAAGTCACCTTTTTACGCTAAAAGATCATGGTAAAAAAAGGTCAGCTTTGGCGCCATCCGTTTGCACATGAAGTCCCTAGCTGTGACACGCGCCAGGGCCCAACTGACTCTACTACAGCATTGTGAGATAGTGCAAAACCTTCAAGTTATGAACAGCGAAATCACCGTTTTGCACATCCCTCCAGAATTGTGCAAGGTACAAGCACTCTAGGTGGTAAATGCACGTCTCCTAGGAGAGACGGGGAAGCAAAACAGTTGCTGTGTACCTAGGATTTTCCGTACCATCCAGTTCCTCTCCCTACACCACCCGCTTAGTTTCTATTTCTGCTGTTATTCAAACCAAGAGATTCCAGAAAATGATTTTGTGTTGGGTTTTTTTTCCCCTCAGCAGATATTGATTGCAGTCTCACTGAGATCTCCAGAGGGGATTTCAAAAAGAGTACATGACCATCTTTCCTTTGCCAACTTATCGGCTCTGCATTACACAGGTATAAGGCTCCCAGCACAGTCCATTAAATGCAGTAGCTTGGAGGAATACTCAAAAGAAAACAAAATATTCAATTTATTTGCTACCTTCAACTTCTGGGAAGATTGAAGCTTTGGAACACAACATGAGAACTCAAATCTAACACTTAGCTGGACACGGGCTGAATACCAGGTCTGAGGAGAAGAAACAGCAAGGAATGAAGTGACATACAGAATACCTGAGGAATTTGGAGCTGTGGAATGGATATTCAATTCACCATCAATAGTCATGATGAAAATAGGCAGGGGGAAGGGAAGAAAAGCCTAAAACTAAAGTTGGGCATGAAAATAATGCAGATTTTGGAACAGACTAAGATGGGGAAGGAAGTTTTCAAGATCAAGCTGCCATCAGACCTGCGATTGTAGGAACAAAGGCTTACTGCAATCTCTTCCCCTAGGAAACCTTTATAACCACCCCAGCACTAGTTGGCAAGGCACCGATTGTTGCACTACAGTCAGTGGTGGCCAGGAGAGCCGTTCATGTGCTTTTCACTGCAAGGAACATCCGTGCTGTAGAGGCCGTCCAAGTACGCCTGAGAAATCTCCGCTACCAAGCTCCTGTCTGGGACGGACTGGGCCATTCCATAGATGGCTCCCTAAGCAGAGAAGAGGAGGTCATTACATAGGATCGTTAATGCCAGAGAAACACGCTCACCCCAAACACACCCTCGCTACACGCTGGCCTCCTTACCATGCCTGTGGTCTTGGCGTTGAGGTCCTTCATGATCTCCTCAATGCTGTCTTTGACATCTTTCAGGAACTGTTCAGCAACACCAGACTTTGTGTGCAACTGCGTAATGCAGAGATGAATGCTGGGCAGACAGGGAAGAGGGAAGAGATTAACCCTCTCAAGTATGTACAGCTCCACATCTTCTGAGCAACCAACAGCAACGTAGCCCTTCCCTGGCCAGTGACAACCGCGTATCTCCTTAAAATAGCATTTCAGCAGTATAACGGGAGCAGACAATCTCTCCTGCCAACTCTCTCTCTGCCAACTCCTCCTTCCTTCCCAACTTCACCATATGCAGTTAAAGACCTATAATTTCCTCACCTCATTCCAGGTGAGAAAAATGCAGCTGCCTGTGAGCATGGTGATCCTTGCCACCATTTCCCTACCCTTCCTCTCCAGCTTAGATAAGCCACCAGCCACCCACAGCATGGAAGCTAGCATCCACCAGAAGGAACAGGGCTACTCGTATTCTGAGCGCGCTTCAGGCTCTCTAGACTTAGCTTCATGCTAACTGCAAGTCCAAAATGTTTTCAGTGCAGCTACACCTGAGAGCATCTGCCCCCTTTGCCCACAGAAAAACAACAACTACCCACTCAAGGAAACTCTCTGACAAACATTCATTTTACACCAGGCTGGAAAGATCACTGAAAGTGATCAGCCCGTCACTGTTCTTTCAATTACCTTTGTCTTCAGAGGGCAGCAAGAAGATACTAAAAATAAATAAATAAATCTAGAAACCCTCAGTTAACTAACATGAGATAAAGCCCTAGCTATTTATATTTTTCTGCTTGTATTAGACAGAGGTAAATAGAAAGGAAGCCTTAGATATGACCTCTGCCAGGCTCATTAAAATCACTATTGCCCTATCCTCACTGCCATAACTGCTACATATCAGCAACTACAAAAGTAATTCCTTCTCTGCAGAGGAAAAGGCTACATACAATTTATCAGATATGGACAACACCACTCAGCAAATCAAGAGAGCTACGTGGCCTGAATACGACCGTCTTGCATACCCTGGCTACGCACATCACTCCACTGGGTCTCCACAAACTCACCTTGATGGGAACTGTAGGACATTTAAGTTCCACCCTTTTGCAGCTAAGGAGTTAGATAATCGATAAATATCAAAAGTGTCCGAACCGATGGAGAGGACAGACACCTCAGGTTTCCCAAGAATGAAGATGCTGTCAATTTTTCTCAACCTTAAAAAGAAACAGGAGAAAAGAAGTGACTGACCAGGGTTACAGGGGACAGACATTCTGTCCATCTATCTGGAACCTTAAAGGAAAAGCTACAGAAGGGAAGAGATGACAGCAGATGCCTACCAAGAAAATCACGCAACCACCCCTGGCTGTTGGGACTCGCAAGAAGACTTGGGTCATTAGAGGCCCTAAAGTCAAGTACACTCAGGAAGAAATGGAAAAAAGGGAGGACAGAGAGGCAAGGGAAGACAGAGCAGCAGAGAAGATCAGCTTATCAGCTCACATAGCAACACAAGCACCCCAACAAAAGAGAGCATAACCCTTCTTTCACTACCTTCAGTTAAGTCCTTCCAGATTCCCCCTCAGCCGTGGCTGAGGCAGAAGAAACTCTTGAAGCAAAGTCAGCTAAAAAAATAAAAAAGATGCCTGCACCCCTCCTCTCTGTGCCTGTCAGCTATCTGGCACAGGGCAGCAACCTGGGCATAAACAAAACATCTTCTCCCATAACTGCCCCGTGGATCCCCACCCAGCAGGTAACATGCTATAGCTTCTCCAGGGAGGGGAGGGGGAAGTTGCAAGAGAAACAAAATCAGTTTGGGAGGAGGAGTCCAGAATGGGGTTAAAAGCGTGATCAAAACGCTAAGGCACACACGTACTCCGATTCGAGGAAACGAGCAGTTTTAATGATCCTCTTCGTAGCCTCAACGTAGCCCGATTCCCCTATGTGCATCAGAGTTGCCCAGCACGCGGCTATGATTCCACCAGGCCTGGAGCCTGCCACGGAGGGGGAGGCGTATATGCCCCCTTGCCAATCGGGTGCTATAAAGAACTGGTAGCTCCTGTACTTCTTGTCGCTGTACAGCACCACCGAGGAGCCCTTGGGAGCGTAGCCATACTGCAAGGGGCACAGAAAGCATTGAAAAGGAGGAGGGCACAGGAATGCATTCAAGCACTCACTGCACGCTGTCACCAAGATCCCATTTTGCCCATACTTTGGCGCGTTGCACAAAGCATCCAAATAGGGCAGCCCTTACCCCTGCGCTTTAGCACTCCTTGACATCGCAGAGCAGAAATGCCTGAAGGCAGGGATGGTATCCAGAATTGCTCCCCAAAAATGAAAGCATTGGAAGGCCTTTCTCCCCATTTCTTACCTTGTGGGTATCAGCAGAAATGCTGGTCACACCTTTTACACGGAAGTCAAATGGACGCTTTAGGGGGAACCCTGCCTTGTCCATGAAAGCAATAAGAAAACCACCCAGGCAGGCATCAACGTGGAAGGGGATTTTGTACTTCACCGCAAGCTGTGTGTGAACAAGAGATTCTGGTGAGTAACATGCAATCAGGCAAGAAAACGATGTTGTTGGGGCACCCAAACTCCAGTCACCAAAAGGTACCCTGCAGTTCACAATTAAATGTTTCCCGGACCCTTTTGGAACATCAAGCCACTCTCAACCTGTTGAAGATAAGAGATCTGGAAGGGCTGGCTACTTACAGCCTTCTCCTGCCTTCCACATATTTGAAGATTGCCAGCAAGAGGAGAAACACCACTGCGTTTTGGCAGTTTGCTCTATTTGCCAAAGAGATGTGACAAGGTGGTCTGAAAGGAGTATTGGCAATAAAGTGTAAGGGTGTGACCCAAATGAAAAGAAGGTCGGAGGCCTTGACTGGTTACAAACAAAATAAATAACTGGAGCACGGAGAGAAAAATCAAGAGGCATGTTTGAAAAATAAGATCCCAGCCCTTTGACTCCTACTCCCTCCACGTATTCCTCCAACTTCTGCACCAAGCTTGCTACAGCCAGTAGGCCCTAAATCAATCCACCTTCTTACCAGGTGGATTATTTTGCTGTTATTTCCTCTCAGGTATCAAAGAATGCCCTTCTGGTTGGTCTCACAGTGGGTGCAGCAGAGCTCAGTCACATATACAATACATACCTTCAGTTACAGCAGAAATTAATGGCATGGACTTGAAGAGTTCAGAGACAAAGCATGTGCAAAGCATGGCCACTTTGCCTTGCTGTGACACACTGCATGCACCAGCTCAAGTCCGAAATCCAGCCCCACACAAACACCTTTATGACAATGCCCAGAGGTACTTCTGGTATTTAAAGCCCACCCTCCCACAGCAGTTACAGAGTGCAAGAAAATAGTCTCGTATTCCTCCCCACTTCCAAATTGTGTCATGCATACCCTGCCGTTGCTTAATGCCCAATTTAAGGACAGTAATACCCTCCCAAGCAGTCGGCTCCTCCCACCAGATTCACTGGTTGGCATCCTGGAACCCCTCTGCTCTTCTTGTACAGAAGGACATGCTGGTTTTATTGCTACAGCACCCAGAAGTCCCAGGGGCACCCTACCTCTGCCACCTCTTCAATCGGGTCCATAATTCCATGCGGGAACTGGGGAGCGGAACAGACCAGCATGGCTGTGTTCTTCGAGATAGCTCTCCTCATTGCCTGAAGATTTAAAGAGAGAAGATGCTCACATTCCATTTACCAACTGCCACCCTGCCAAAAAAGATAAAAAGTGAAAACATGCAGCATCTGGTCTTAAAAACCAACACACAAAAAGCCTATAGAAAGCAAAGCAATAAGCTACAAGCATCAGCAGACATCAACTGAGTAATTTAACTCATCCACTTAGAAATATTAGAACGCTTTTGTTTGTGCTCATCTGAAGTCTGGGGCTATTTCTGAAATACACAAATTATTTCAGAAATATTTGATTCTAAATGAATTACACAGGAAAAAGGGATGGTTTGCATCCAATTATTTCAAACGAAACCTGATCTGCAGTGACAGACACTTACTCCTGCCATTTTTCCTTATTTTCAGGAAGCATTCGTCCCTCTCTATCCACTGACTTGCCACCTGGATAGGTAGATTTCTTGCTATTTGCTGTACAATGCTAATTTCCCACGGAAAGAGTTTTTTTCAATACCTGAACATCCACTTCCATAGCCTTGGTCAACGGTATGTGAATCAACTTCAGTCCAAAGTAGTGTGCTGCCTTGTCAAATGCTGCGTGAGCACTCACCGGGACCAACCTAGAAAAGTAACAGATTGCATATTGCGAACCCAGGCAGCACCTAAGCCTTACTGTGAACAGGAGGTGAAAGAGCAAAAAAAATTCAACTTGCAGATATTTGTGTGTGACAGACAGGTCAGAAATAGGCCAACTGCATGTTTCAACTAGCCAAACATCAGACAGACTGAAAAAGGAAAAAAGTTGGGGAAAATGCCCTCTGGGACAGACAAAAGGCCGCATGCTGTTCTGAACTAAAGCGATGGTCACTTGATCTTGAACCACCCAGAGAAAACCTACTAAAGTAATTCTATTCCACTGCATGGTCTTCTGTGAACCAGGAATCAGAGTTCAAGAACGTTAATTTCTTGTCATATCAGACAATATTGTACCATCTCCAACCAGCTACCCTCCCTGAGAGGGGCATATGACAGTATGAAAGGGAAGGAGCAGCATAAATACACCAAATGAACATAATATTTGCTGTCTCCCCTCTCAAATGGCAGTGGCTGAACAGCCTTAATTAATCTTGTTTTCTGATGCATATCTTTATCGAGGCCTTTCACAGCATGCAAAAATGTTAGAGAGGGTAGAAAAGAACTGCAGGAATTCAGCCGAAGATGAACACCACAGTGTTTCATCTTTCTTTATGTTTTCCCCCTGTAAGCAATTAACCAGAGAAACATTTTTGATGCACCGTCTAGAAAAAAAGCAGCACATTAGAGAGAGCAAATCCTCTATTAGCAGTGTAATGATTAGCGCAATTCCTCATTTCGGCTCCAACCAGCCCCAACTTTAGTCCCAGAGTTTTCAGGCTAAACCCTCTTTGATCTGAATAAATCAAAACCCTTAAACACTTCAAAGGGCCTGACAACCTCTGCTCGAGAGGGGCCCAGATTGGATATGAGCAGGCTCTGTCTAGAGCAGCATGCAGGTATTGCCAAAAACATCTGCACAGCATAGCTACCACAGGCCCCCAGCAACATCGTGCCCCCCAGGCTGCTTAAAGGTTCCTGTGCTTTTGCACAGCTTCTTTTGACCCAGGTTTCTCTCCTTCAGACACAGATGGACAAGGAGGAGGTGGTAATGAGCTATGAAATGAAGGAATATTGGGGTCTAGCAGCAACCTCCACTAAAACGAACAGAAAGTCCCACAAGCTCCCAACGTGAAAACCAAGCCACAGAAGTATTGCTCACATTTCTGGCTGTTTGATGCCTCTCTCGTAAGCCAGGTCTCGGTACGCCTTGCAGGCCATCAGAATGCTCTCGGTCCCCCCAGATGTCATCTGTCATGAAGGAAAGAAGCAAACAAGAAAAACAATCGCTTACATGGATGTTGAAGAAGAGAAAAGCAAAAAAGGGATGCTGCCACAGCATCTGTGCCCAGAGATGTACAGGAAAACTCAGGTTTCGGGGGCAGCAGAAGCCACTGAATAGCTCAAGGTAGCTTTCTGACATTCAGCTTGAAAGTGCACATTTAAATAAATGTCAACTCCTCTATTTAAAGGGGGAGATGGAAAGGGAAAACAAAAAAAATACCAACTCAAATGCCTGGCAAGAGGGGACCATACTGCACTGTCACTACCTGGCAAACATGACCACACCTCATGAAACTACTAGTACATACTTAGCTGTTGATTACCTGGGGATTGTTTATCTGGATTACAGATTAATTATGCCACGTATACAGAAACAACAAAGTTGATTCTGTATTAAGTCATCTGAAGTCCAGCAGGGTTTATTAGGGCTGGAGCAGTGCCATGCTGAGGCACAGAGCCAGCTCAGTGTTGGCACTGCTCCTGAGCTACAAAACCTTCCCAGAACCTGGAACACCGCAGAGCTCTCTCCCACCTTCTCTCTGCAGAGGCCAGCCTAGGTCTGGTCAACATGAGGCCAGAGCCTGTAAGCCCTCAAGGACCCAAGAAATTTTATACCAGGAGGAGCTTCTGCATTATTCTCCCCAGCAAGTCCCTCGGTATCCATACAACCCACTACCCGTGCTGTCCCAGCCCTCTTTACCCTGACCACAGGAGAACAAGGGGGTTTGGAAGAGAGGAAGGTCCACACACAAGCTGTTTCGATCAAGTTTACTATTGTATACTAGAACTCAAGAGCTGTTGCAAATAAACAAACTCTTTACAGGAAGAAATTCCTCAAGTGGAAGGACTGTCTCTTGTTGGCTGGCCTTTATGAGTTCTGACATGCAGGGGACAGAAAAGTGTGTGGGCACAAACCTTCCAAAGTAAATTTTAACCTAGTAAAATGTGAGGTTGGTTTTTCAGGCAGCCAGCAGGATTGACTTACTGCTACGCTGGGTGAGCCATAACTTGAGGATGGGGGGTACCTGGGACAGGTATACAGACGTGCAGGTGACAGAGAGGAATCAAAAGCTACTTACAGCGCTTAAGGACCAATTTTGATCCT